CCTGGACTGGTAGTGCTTAGTGAGGCAAACACATTTGGTGAAATGATTGCTGCTGTCTGATTCAAAGGCACACCCCGATACAATTGATTTCCAGCTTCCCAGGGAACACTGTGTGGTAACAAATCTGCCTTTCAGCTCTCCAACTCCTTACACTGAGGTGTACCCCAGCTGCTAAGGAGGTCTCTTTGTTGAGCTCCTGTAGCTCTGCAGGTTCTCTGCTGTAAATATACAGAACATGGGGACTCACAAAACAAGCTGAGAGTGCCAAAGCCTTGGAGGAAATCTTGGGCTCCACCTTCCAGGTGAGGGTGTCATTTGAAAACTGATGCACTTGCTGAAAGCCCCAGCTCTACATTGAAATTCTGTGGATGAAAAATTGCTTTACTTCTTCCCTATTAATTGTCCCTTCTTATCAGTGTGCTGCTGCAGTGCTCTGACAGCTCAAAGAAGCCTTTTGGTCCTATGTCACACCTCTGGGAGCTTCTCTGTGCACATCTGTGAGACACAGAGGTCAGGCTGTAATGGGTGTAAAGAAAGAAAAGCAAGTTCAAACAGAAGGTGGGAGAACTTAGAAGGTGGGAGGAGGAGGAAACCAGTGGTCCAAAATGGGCAAGTCCCATCCAAAAAGGGAGTTATGAGGCAGAGACCAAATAGATCAGGTGGTGGACAGGCCACAGGAAGTCAGGCTTAGGAAAACAGAAAGAACACAAGCGTTCCAAAGTTCAGAAGCATCATTCCACCCTCCTCCTCTCACTTTTAAACCAGTCAAGCCTGGACTGCAAAGAGCAAGGCCTGTGAGATGGAACTTGCTGCTTCAGTTTTCTTTCTTTAGGAAATCTCTTTTCTGTTTCAAACCCCTGAAAGTCTTGAAGAGGAGAGAGGAGGCGACAGGCAAAAAATACTCATGTTATCAGTTCACACACTTTAACTCTCTTTGTTATAGAAGAAATTGGATTCACTGTATTCTTCTCTCTGAGTCGTCTTGGTTAGCATTAGGACATCAGTACGAGGAGCTAAAGGAGTTGAAGCCCTAGCCCCCAAGAGCTGACCAAGAGGAAATTTTTGGTAAAACTAATGCTGTTACCATGGAACTAGCTCTATCTGACAGATAGAATCATGGACTCATAGGGTTCTTTAGGCTGGAAAAGACTTCTAAGCTCCTTGAGTGCAACCATTAACCTGGCACTGCCAAGCCCACCACTAAACCACATCCCCAAGTGCCTCATCTACATGTCTTTTAAATGCCTGCAGGGAAGGCGACCCTCCCAGTGCCCTGGGCAGCCTGTTCTTGAAACTCAATCCAAATAAATTAAAAAAGAAAAAATTTACTCACAGGGAGTGTGCCACTTTCTCCTAGTGCACCAGACTGTAGAATCATCCTCACCGCAGACAAGTGTACCCACTCAGGACTTCCAGCTGGAATGAAAAAGCCCCAGAACTCTCAAAGCTCAGAGCCCAGAGTTCTGCTGCTCCCAATCCTTCCTTCTCTGAGAATCCAAAATGATGATTTCATGATGGCTGAACCTGATGGCCTCCAACCATCACAGCAGCCACCAGTCCTCTCTGTTCACAAACAACAGGTCCAGTGGGTTTCTTCCCTAGTTGGCTCACTCACCAACTCTGTCAGGAAGTTACCTGTCACACACTCCAGGAACCCCCAGGACTGTTTTCTCTCCACTCTACTGCATTTCCAGCAGACATCCCCACCTTCTTCTGTTGCACTTGCAGAGCCTCATACCTATTATCCATGAGCACCTGGGGAGGGCAGTCACAGAGGAAATGAACCATCTGTGCCAGGCAGGAACTTGTCACCATTGCCACCTTTCCATTGAGTGACTGTGTTCTGCCAGGTGGAGAAAAGATAGCACATCCTGCGTACCATGTGTCCTGTCTGCCTGCCGGGATTGTCTCAGGGAAGGTAGGTGTGATTCCAGAAGTCTATCTGTCCATTGGACTCCCAGATACTTCCCAATCTACTCGCCTCATTCAGCTCTGTCACTAAGGGGAGGAGACTCTGGGCACACCTCCCACAGCTTTGCTCACTGCTGCCTAAGAGTGGTGCCGAGCCTAAGAGCACGGCACAGGCTGCAGCTGACACCTGGTGGCAGCATTATCCCACTGGAGCTCTGTCTGCGCAGCTTCACCAGTCATGATAGCATCAGAGAGGCCATGACTTTCTGCTGGTGGGCACCACTTCTCCCTGGCCAAGCTGCCTTAGCTATTTTTCTTCTCACTAGTGAGCCAAAGAACTGAGCAATGCTGAAAGGAAGGCATGGGAGGAAGAAGTGTACCTTTGGACGGGGTGGGTACAAGGGAAGGAAGTTTGACATCAAACTTCAGGAAGAATTCCTGTTCTTGAAAAAAATGTGGATGCAACTTCATTTTCCAACCAGAAAATGGCCTTCTGAGCTTTCCAACGGGTCAGGATCCTGGATATTTTAATGGTTCTGACAAAGAAGTGCAGGCCAAGTATTTCCAATGCTTTGCCTCTCAAGCAGCCATAAAAATAAAAATAACCAATCACAGAAACTGACATAGACCTTCAAAGTCTTTCCGTTTCAGTGTTTTCACCTTCCTCTGAATGGTTCATGATAGAGATGAAAACAGCAACAGCAGCCAAAAAAAAAAGGTAGAAGGACAGAGCTGACCCTACTTCAAAAGATGTCAGTAATTATAGCTATAGGAGGGACACTCAAATGAAGCAAAGTGGCAAGAACTGACCTTTATGGTTCCTTGGTTCTCTATCTGAAACCTTAGTGCACTGTGGATCAGTAGATATAAGAATGAAGAGGGAAGGCAAAAGAAAGAATCTAGGGAACAAGAAGTATCAAGGTCAAGGTCATTAACAGTAAAATTGCCCCTCCTTTTGTACTTGCTCTTTCCAAACATTAGCTATTGCCATTATTCAGTCCAAAAGGACATGGTACAACACATCAGCCTAAGCATCAGTGTAACCAAACAAAATACAAGGAGCCTGAAATATGCCTGGGTGCTTACAGAGGCTTGAGGAATGCACACAGTTAAGTTATGGGATGTTTTATGGCTCATGGGCATGGTTTTGCATACATGAAAGGGATGTTCTGTAGAGCTTTCAGCATTAATTAGGCTATTGCATAGTGGCCTGTGATGACAGAGAAGTGGAGTCAGTGGTGATCCTGAGCTCTTCTTGTCCTTTTTTTGCTGGCAGTGGTCCACAGCCTCAGTTCCCTCTCCTGTGCTGTGTTAGGGCTCTAAGCACATGCCGATAACTGAACTAGTGCCATAGTTTAAAGGGAGGAAAAGGGTTGGAGAACGGAGATATTGAGACTTAGGGTTGCACCTTTAGTGGCACTGAACAATCGTGCCAAAGGTAGTTTGCATTGCTGGCTGTGATGTTCCCTGCAGCTTCCTTAAGCTGAAGAGTGATACGGACATCAAGGGACGTGCAGGATCAGCCTGGAAGTGTCCTATAAATTTCAAAAGGTTTTCCCTTTTTCTTTAAAAGGTCTTTGAGGGTTTTAGAGTTTCCAATCAATGAGTAATTTTATTTTACAACATCTTTCAAAAACCTAGGAGGTCTGTGAAAGGAAATGTAATCCTAAGATTTGCTTTTCAAATCTTTGGTGCAAGTGAAGAACAATTCTGAAATATCCACAGCAATTCCTTCTAATGAAATTCCTTGAGTGTGGATATATTTGAGATCTGTAGGTATTTGCGTAATGAGCATACTTGCTAAATACTAAGTTACAGTTAATTGTCAAATTAATTATGAGAAAATCAATTTGAAAATTTGAGAAGCCTTCCAAGTTGCAGAGTGAAGAGTAAATAAAAGGAAAAGGTAAATTCAATTGCTGTCTAAGTCAACTTCATTTTTAAGACGGTGAGGAGATGTTGGCAGCTTCTATCTTACTGCTGTGAGATACATCTCTGCCATTAAGATTTCTGACACCTTTAACTCTGATCCTCTGAACCTTTGCAGAGTAGCTCAGTCTATTCCAATAGAGACCATTGGTCTCACTGAATGTGGCCCGCTTTCCCTGAGAAAGGTTTGCATGCATAAACAGAGATGCTGGAAGGCTTCTTTGTTTAATAACATATTATTGCTTTCTATGTATTGGAGTGCTGATGGCAAATATAGCTAGTAAATATGTGATGGTGCCTCTAGCACTTCCTTCAGCTTTAGTGATCCTTATTTGATGCAGATTTGTCAGCAGCAAACTTCAGATCAACTTCAACCAAAAGTGAGAGCCCAGGGCAGTATAGCTGTAAAGAACTGACTATGGGGAGCAGAAAACCTCATTTAAGTTTTGCTTTTCAAGGAGGAAAGACTAAAACCAGTGCCCTAAAATAGAAGGCCTGAAGAACAGAGGGTAAATTGTCCTTTCCACGTACCAGCATTGCAGTCACTCGAGCATGACAGGACAGGACTGCTTGCCATAGTAGGGGGGAAAGTAGCACCTTGGAAGAGTTTGAGAAGTTCTGATATTCACTTCCTTTAATCACTTTAAAGCAGAACCTCTGCTTCTCACATGCTACTTTCCAAGCCTCCTGTGTCTTAGTCATCTTCATGCATCAGGCAGATTTACTTTTGCAACAGCACTTGAATTGAGGAGAAAATATCTGCAATTTTTATAATGAACACTTTCAAATGTGTATTTATTTTTAGTGAGCAGAGTGCTCCTTTCCTTGCTTTCCCAGGTAACTGGGTATACATCTCCTAATAAATCACCTTTCATTCTTTGCCATTGTCTCCTGATGAACTTTTCCCTGTCACTCACACTTCCTTGGTAGCTTAGAAAGTCTGCCAATATGAAATATGTTTTATTGATAACAAAGAGTATGGACCACCTGGGTATTTCAGCATCGGAGATAAAATAGCCCCCTTTAAGCTCCTATGACTTTTTTTTCCAGGAAAGGTGGGCTGTGGGTGAGAACAGAAATATGGACAGATATCCCAGATCAGCTGACCATGGGGAACTGTACTGAGTGTAAGTTTTCACAGTTAGTGAAAAAGAGGAAAGCTGGATTTTTTCCTAGTGCTTTTCATAGCGAGAACAAGCTGACTTGGAAAGGTTTGTTTTATTTGTTTTTGGGAAATTACCAGTTGTGGTCCTGATTCAAACATACCTATGTTGCTAACCACAAATTACTGATGCTCTCCAAACAATCTTTCAGTTATTTCTTACCACACACTGTCTTACAGAGTGGCACTAACAAAACTGCATTACCTTTTTTCATCAAAGGAAGGAGGCAGCATTGAGATGTGTTTGGCATCAGGTGATACTCAGGGGAAAAAATCTTCATAGGATAATATCTGCTGCTCAGGTCCACCAGAATGGAAACTCAATGGTAACTCGTAAGTGAGAGATACATATGAGGGAAAAGCAAATATATGCCAGGCTAGTCTGAAAACTAGCAGATCCGCTTTAAGATGCTCTTAGTCTTACCACCCACTACACTTAAGGACAAGGACAAGGAAACAGGGGGTTTGTACAATGTATGCACTTGTAGGCTCAGAGACGTATCACCTAATACCATATTTGTAAAGGTTTTTAGGGGCAGTTACTTCTAGTGATTTTACTGAGTGCAGGCACCTTAGCAGCTCTTGAAG